TTTTTGTGAAAATAAAGCATTGATTGTTAACACGATATATTTTTTCCCTCTTCCATAAGAAACTCCAAGCATTTTGAAGAAATTTTCCTTAAAAGCAGATTTAAAGATTACAAGTTTGATATTTTTTGCATTTAAAAAAAAAATATTTTCCCTGTAGGCATGAGTTTCCGTGACGAATATTCCAAATAAACTATATTCTAAATAAAACTGAATTTGTGAAATAATTACAAACCTCACATATTATGAAAAATGCCATAAACAGCGACGTTGACAAGAACATTTATTAAATAAAAGCCAATAACCATGGTATTGATCTCGAGCTGAATCCACAACAAGTTGAATTTTTTTCCTTCCAAAGAAGTTTAGTATGAGTTTGCTAAGTAAATAAATTTTGTATAGTTTGCCATGAAATTCATATAAAATAGATTTAAAAGTATATACTGGTTTGAAACAAATGTGATTTTCTAAATGTAATGTCTTCCTTCGTTTACGTTTGAAGGCAAAACGTTAACGGCAGAAGAGCTGAACGGTAAATTTTAAGAAAATTTAAAAATTCTTTTGTACAGATTTTCATTTTTCTTATGATTTGAGCACTTTTTTGCTTTTATAAATGGGAGAGAGTTGATGCTTTAGTAAGTTATCAGCGAATTTTCCTTATCAGACTAAATATGAAAATTTCTACTTCTTCCTGAGAGTGTTCTTACGAGTAAAAGTGTTGTCTTTAAACAGAAAACAAACTCTTGCATTATCAAAAAAAAAAAAAAAAAAAAAAAAAACCTTTAATCTAAAAAAAAAAAAAAAAATGCAGAAAGAAAGCGAACGGTTTAAAGTTTGTGCTTAAATGAATTTATGAATAAAATATGAAAATGCTTGCGTTATCCGACGTTTTCTACATAGAAAGTTTGGTATAAATTTAATTCATTTTTATCACATTATTGTTAATTAACTCGGTAAGAGCTTGAAAATGTTTGAATATTAGTTTATTTATCAGTAATATCGAAAGCATATCAGCAGATAAATTGCTACATTACATAGGCTTTTTGTAAATAGCTTTGTAGAAAAGTGAAAATGTAGAAAGGATGCGATCCGAAGGGTCCCGGCAACCTTTTTGCAATGCAATCGTTGTACTTCAAGACAGAAATGTGTCCTGGTGTGACGACATAAAAGTGCCAGTTTTTTTTTACGAAGTTCAATTAAAACCACAAAGAATGCAATAATCATTAAGATACCAAAACGCCTATGGGAAGATCTTTGTTTTAGTAGCCTACATAAAGATACCAGCATCATTGTGAAATCGTCGGGATGACGGGACATGAAAGCTCCCTACTTTTATTGAGTAAAGAATTAGATCCAACAGTTATAAATTTGCTACACGATGAAAGAGTTAAGATGATAAATTTGATACGTTTACCATTAGTCTTCTTACAATTCTCTTCGATATCTTTATCAAACCACTTTTCGTTTTTTTGTTTGTTTGAGTGATAAAAAAAAATCCTTAAAAGCAACAGATGCAGAATGTTATTATTATTTTACTTTTTAATCGGATTAAGTTAACCCATATTTTCCCAATGAACGAAGAAATTAAAATTTTTGTTTGAAACTTCTAATTTTATTTTATAAATAGTGAAGAAAAGATAATAAATTGAAAAACGTACAAAACTTTCATTTTCTTTGAGTTAACAAGCTGTCTTATATATAGGACGATGGTCAAAGTCAGCGCTATGAAGTTAAAAGGCATTATTTTTTTCCAAGCACATTGTTTTGAATGAAATGATAAAAAAAAAAAAAAAAAAAAACAACTCGGATATTAGCCAATATTGGATTTTTTTACAAATAGTTGTTGGTTTCCTAATACAATTTTTTAATTGACAATGACGTTGACGTCCATCAGGATTTTTGACAATCACGTGATCAATTGGCATTTTCAAGAAGTCTGGATTTCTCTGTTGCGCACCTAATGTTCTGCCTCGAAAGTTCCTAAGTATTGATAATCCTAAATAGCTGACTGTTATAGACCGTCGATATTCTGGAAGATCAAGAGCTTTGGTTTCTTTCTTATATATTTTACAACCATGTCGACCGAAATAACTCATCATTCTTTCATCAATGCTAAGATGTACGAAAGTACAGCTAAATTTTGTAAAGCATCATTCAGTAAATCATAAATTGGACGTACTTTGTAACAGAGATCCGTATCAATGGTGCTATTGTCAGTGAAATGAATGTACCGCTTGATTTCAAAATATCTGTTTCGTGGCATTGCTCGACTAACTAGTATAGTTCCTGTGTCTGGAGTATTTTCACGGTACATTTTGTCACGTGGCAAAATGTGGTAGCCACTGTAAAAAAGTATACCTAAGAATTGTTTGAGTTCCTGTTTTGTCAATGAAATAGTATTATGATTATTTTTCTGCCCAGTGTATCTGTTACTATCAAAATAACGGATTTGTCTACCATTTTTCCTGAGATATATTTAAAGAGTTCTGTAGGAGATTTTCCAGAAACAAAATCAGTTATAGACTGACTAAAATCTTGAGGAAATATTTATGAATCACGTGAATATTTCGGAACGCAATCTTTCCAAGTAGGTTTTGGCACACATATTTCATCATCTTCATTTCCTACTAAAATATTCACAGTTCCTGCTGTTTCTATAGTTCCTGCTGCGTTTTCGTCAAGATAGCTTGGCTGTGTCTAGCTATCTGTGATAGCAGTCATCGTCTATTTCTTTATTGTCACTGACTGCATCCGGATCAGATGACATTATTACCATTTCCGGCTCAGTATATTCATCACCTAATGTCATAAAATATTCCAAAGCTTCTTCAGCTGTTAGAAATTTTCAACTCATTTTGGATGTGTAAAATAAATATACCTTATAAAATAAACATTCACAAAAGCAAATTTCTTTCATACAAATCAAACGTACGAAACGGCTTTCAAGTGCGCTAAATATAACTCTTTATAAAAGTTGACACGGGACAAGAAGCAGTTGATCGCTTCTTACAACGGGGAAAGGTTCTAGAAAAAGTGCTAGAAAGGTTCTATACAACGGGGGATGAAACGGACGTAACCATTTTACTCGAAAGCGGTATTATGTTTTAGAGTCAAGAGCATTTTACCATTGTCCTATACATAAGATGCTCTATAAAAGAAAGCAAAATAAGGATATGTAATACATTTTTTTTTTTTTCGGATTTTTTGTCGTTCACATTAATGGAGACCTATTTTATTTAAAAAAAATCTACATTTCTTATTTTACCCCTTTTTTCCCCTCTTTTATGCGTTCAAAAAATAAAGCGCAAAAAAAAAATCAAAATTAGTCCTTTTTTGCATGTTTTTAAAAAAACAGATTTGTAAAGGTAAAAATCTGATGTGTACACCACATGACTTCCTTGTACGGAATGTTAAATTATACGCATTTTTTCTTGCATTTTATTTAAACTTATTAGATTGAATTAAACCTACTTCGCCGACACCGCATAAACCACAATAGAATAAATGCATTTTTTAAAATTCACTTTGTTAAGCATAGCGACACTCTGGCGCTAGGTTTACTTAACAGTATTTTATTTCGTTCATATTATAACTCTGAATGCACAAAATTTATATCATTTAAAGAATTATCTAATCGTTGCCACATGTTCTATTCAAATACTATAATAAAGCTAGAACTGTGTATAAAAGAAATTAAGCAAACAAAACAAAAAAGAAACAGTTTTTCACAGACGATTGAGTATTTCTCATTCAATTAATTCAGTTCTCACTTCCCAACAAGGCAAAAATACATAAAAACTCAAAATATCTGTATTAAAAATTACGAAAGTAAATCTTAAACGCTTATTTCCTCGAAAAAAATTCAAGAAAGGATTAAGCATGATTTAATTGGCAATAATAAATGAATGAGTTATCTTTGTTGTTGCGAAGCTAAGTTTCTCTAGATTGGCAACAAATCCACTAGTCTCCTGTTTCAAATGTAAACATCAATTGCCGCCATCAAATTAGGCTTAGCGGCACTTAAACAATTTTAAAATTGACGATAATTCTAAAAATATTGCATACAGATTTACTACAGGCATAAAACCCTTAACCGGAAGATAAAAATAACATAATTCAATCATTTTTAAAGCAAAAAATGTTCAATTTACAAACATATAAGAGTAAAGAAACTGAGATCACTGAGCCGGGTAACAGAGTGGATATATTTATAAATATATTTATATACGTTTGGCGCGGCCGATTGAAACAAAAATACGAAGTGCACATCTACATCTTATAGTAGTCTTATATACAAAATTTCAAAGTTCTGAGGCTACTCGTTTTTGAGTTATGCGAGATACGTACGTACGCACGTACGTACTACATACGTTCGTACAGACGCCACAAAAAAATTCTCTTCAGAATTCATTTTAAAGCAGTTTTTTAGTTTTTTTGGAGGAAAAGAGTCTTTTATTCTGTCCTTACGTACAGATATCACGCAAAAACATGGTAAATTGCAATCGAAAGCGGTCAAAGTGGATATTTTCGTTGAAAGATTTATATTTTATAAGATTTAATATAAATGTGTAAATCAAAACACCGTCCTTACGGCGAAAATAAAAGCTGAATGTAGTTAACATTATCTAGTTTTTAGATTTAATTATCTAGTGAAAAATACACATAAAGTATTGAGTAAATAATGAGACTGCTTCGCACTAAGATGATTGTGCTTTATAAAGAAATAAGAAACGGTAGAGCATAAGGTTGAAAGGTAGCGCATAAAGATGGAAGGAAATCTAAACTAACTGTAATTAAATGACATATGTATGACACTTTAAGGTTCGCAAATCTTTTCATTTGACGTAAAACATAGGTACAGAACGGTTACATATTACAGAAGAACATTCTAATAAGAAAATCCACCATGTTACTTACAGCCAATGTATTATAGCTAAACATATTTTAAAACAATATTTTCTTTTCTTTTGCAGTTTATTTAAAGTCCTAATTTTTATTTGTAGGTTTGGTTCCAGAACAGACGCGCTAAATGGCGCAAACGTGAAAAAGCCATGGGTCGAGATAGTCCCAATCTACCCTCTGGAGTCGATCTCTTAATGGGACCACGAACGGATCTTCCGTCCCTCTACCCGGGCTCTGCTCCCCACTTACATGGAGGAATGCCCATTACACCTTCTGATCATCACCTCTGGCCATTACCAACTGGACTCCAAAATCCTCTTGGTCTGTCACATATGCTGAACTTTAATAGCAACAATTCTCCCGGGTTGGGTCCTCCAAGTTTCTTGGGACATCACCACGGTCCTTCTTGGCCGAAAGCAGTGACACCTCTTAGTTCAGCGTTACTATCAGTGTACATGCTCAGCTCTGCTGCTGCTGCGTCTGCGTCCACATCTTCCTCTACTACAGCACCCTCAGTGACAAGCTTTGCGCATCATCATGCTTTATCAGCAGCTAAAACGTCTTTTCTCGGACAGCCGCACCTACAACCCAGCTTCCTTGGAATGGATTCTGGACCTATGGTCAAAGGACTCGATCCCAATAGATCAAGCTTGGATATTTTGCGTTTGAAAGCCAAAGAGCATGGGATGGAAAGATCCACTTCCCCTACTACAGCTTCCAGGCCGAGTTCTTCCTCTTGAGCAGGGAAAATAGTAATTAAGATAGCTCTTAATAATATTAAATATTCGCTCTTAGAGAGACGTTGTTATGAATTTCATGAATTGCCTAAAATAGAGAAACTGAGACTCTCAAATGCTTTTTATAGTATTTCGAAGTAAAGAGAGAAATTTTAGTTCATTCCTGGTACTTGCTGTAGAATTCAATAAAATGGAATTACTTTTCTTGGAAATTAAAAATTATGTACAACGTCTACATAATACAGCTCATGTCCATTAAATTACAGTGCTTGAAGAAATAAAACATAAATCACGCATGCTGCAAATTATAAATAACAGAATCTAAAAATTTACAATTAATTTAGCCATATGTAAGATTTCAGAATTAAGATAATAAATCATTCATAATTGCAAATGTGTTTATATTTTTCTGATGATGCTTGAATGCAAAGGTAAAAATGGACTACAATGATCTTATACATCCCTCATCATACTGAATTTTATATAATTTGTTCAAAATTATTTGAAATTACCTGAATGTTGACAACGCACGTAACCATAAGACCAAACAGCGAACGTTCGTTTAAGATTAATCTGATAAAAGCATGACGAATATTTTTTTTTTTTTTTTTTTTTGGAATTGCAGACTTCTAACTTAATAAAGCAACTTTAAACAATCCCACAAATGAATCCCACAAAACACATTTCATAGAAGCCAATCTTTGCTAGAAACCAATCCTTGCCAATTTTTGCTAGTGTGCTTAACACTCTATCGCCGATTGGTACGATGTCCTAGAAAGTGACAATTTGGCTACATTTTATTGGAATTACACGAACACTACATTAAATTATTCGAATTTGTAAATATATTTATTTTTCAAGATATACAGAATAGAAAAGTAAGTTAAAATAATCACAGAAGGTTGACATTTTTCTTTTTCCAAATATTCGATTGCATTTAACGTTCCAAGATCAGGATGAAAGACGGAAAACATGGCTCGTTTTATCTTGATAATTTTTTACATAATGCCTTTTGCTTTAAATTTTAAAATTTTTAAACTATAATTCTATACTTAAGTTAGGAACATATTTTAATGATTTTCTAATTACAGTTAAGGTATAGGACAGTTAAAACCTAATTATACTACACAGTATACATGTTTTATTTTCATTTAGCTAAAAAGTTAAAATATTTAATATACTTTTCTATAATGGCCAAGCACACTATAAGACCAGTGTTAAATAAGAACTATCTAATGGAAACTATCAAATGGAATGCAATATCTTACTTTTATGCTGCTCTTGCGATTTGAACCCGGTTACTAATATTAAGTTGTCTTTTCTGCTCAGCTGCTGGTGTGCTTACATTAAGATATTAAAATTGCTTTTTACATCGAATCAATTCAATTTTTATTTATTATTGCAGTAATTTATTTTTATATTTTTCTTCCTAAATCAAGGTTTAAGAACAGACGACATAGCAATTTCCCTTTATTCAAATCTACGGAAATATTTTTTATTTGAACAAGCTGCGGATAAAAATTAAATACTGAAAATGCTTGATTTGAAATTAAATTTGCATAAACTTTCTTATGGGAAAATTATACATAAAAAGATCTAAATATCAGTTTTGTATATCATATGGAACTTAAAAGTCGGGAATTTATTAATAAATTGCTAAATAAAGTAATTATACTAAAACTTGTTACAAAATGTTTACAAGTTTATACATTAAAAAGTTTATACTCTTCAGATTTTTATTACTAACATTAAGCAGCATTTAGCTCCATAACTTACAGTCTTTTAGATATTACAGCAGAACACAGCCACCTCATATTTCTGGAAGAAAATAAAAATTCAAGATTTAAAAATTTCTGTAAAAATTATGCATTCTAATAATCACGAAACCGTATGCAATTTCTTGACACTAAAAATACATCGAAAGTAGCTTCGTATTATGGATAAATAAAGCATTTTCCCATACATTTACCCCAAAATTATGGCAATATTTTCTGAAGGATTTTCTTTAACTGAAAAATTTTCGGAATATTAGTAGGAACAGCGACTTTCGGAACTATGCGTGCATAGCACCAAATTTCAAAGGAAGTCCTTAATAGTATACCTCTGCTTCTTGTGTCGTAGCTTTAGTTGAACTAGTTTTCGCATCTATTTCATCATCGGTTTCTTCAGAAACTTCTCCCGTTATCTATGACTTCCGCAACTGTAAACATTCCATGTAGCAAATTATTCCCAACAAAACTATTTTCAAACAAAATATATGGATTACGTCTGTTTATGACAATCATTCACAGTTTTGAATTTATTTCATTTACTTGTACTTCATGCACTTACACAGCATTATTTTGCTATTTTTCTCTTCCTTGGTAGTTTGTTTGCATTCTACTGTTGGAAAACTTTGATCGTCTCTTTCGTAGCATTCATGTAAGCAGTCTGTCATTCTCACAGTAACCGAAACATTGAGAATGAGCAAAATATTTTCTTCGTTGATCACGTTTTAAGATTTTGGCTCCAGTTCCCTCCTGCGCCACTTTCAAAATTAGAATGATATTTTGTTGAGAAAGAGAGTTTTTTAATTTGTGATATAGGTTTCAGAGAAAATTAAAATCATGCTTTTAAATCAGAGATTTTAAAATAAATCTTAGAACGAAAACAAAAATTCTCCTTTTCTTCGAACCATAGATTTGGCAGTCCATTTCAAGCAATCACTGAATATTTCTCTTGTTATCGAGACTTCGTAAGGAGAATGATTTATTATTTAAAAAGTTATATGAACTTCAGTGAACGACTAATTATCAATATGGGATTTTGATTCACTCGTAATAGTAGTCTACAGTGTTTATTCTCAGGCCAAATTTCTCTTTTGCAGGTTGTAATTGTATTAGAATAGTAATGGAATAACTAATTCTGTTCCTGGACATTGCAGTTCTGTTTCACAGGTTTACAGCTTTTCATGAGAAAATGAAACATTTTGATCTCTCATTGCAAACACTTAAAAATAGCGATTCAGTTAAGTCAGAGAACTTTTTAAGGTGTGCTTTAATCTACCTTTGAAGCTCCCGAGCCGCTCTTTTCATCATTCCTTTTATAGGAATAAATTGGTCACAATATTACGCAAAACACTATCATCAAACCTTAACTCATCTGGAACGAAAAAAGAATATTTGCGATATTTTTTTCAATTTACTTGCTATTGTTTTTGGTTTATTCTGTATGATCGTTGTCTACAGAATGGTGCTAAAACACATAAGAATTTGCAGAACTTTAGAATGGAAAGCTCTCAAGAATGCACTAAGAGCTTATGTTTTCAGACCTGACACACTGAAGTAATTAGTGTACAGTGAAAACTCGGCTTCGTTCATAATATCAAAGATCAAGCGACATGTCGTGTCCTAAGTTTTTAAACACTGCATGTAATGCTGTCAATTTGAGAACGGAAATCTTGGGTACAAATCTCAGAATCAAAAACCTTTGCAAATAAAGTAACAGATGAGTCAAAGCAGACTTAATTCGTAATAAAAGCTCAACAATGCTTCACTGTTACTCCTCTATATTAGGGTTGCATAACACATCTGTACAAAGTGAAATAAAACAAAGGGAAAGAAGGCAGAAAATTCCTTCATTATCAAAAATTCTGTCAATAGCGAAAATTCCTTCTTTTCCTGTTTAAAATCTCTGTCAATAACGTTTATTACATCACGAAACTTCTGTCATTTTCATAACTCGGCGATATCTCCCTAAATGCTGTTAAGTTGTATCTCAAATTTTGTCACGGAGGTCGTTAAATTGCTAAATTCAACATTTATTGCGACTTAGGTCATTTACTTAACCTACATATAATTTTTCAGACAGCAGTATGGTGCGTTAATTACACACATATATACAATTATGTGTTTGTAGGTGTATGTGTGTAAAATATAAAACATGAAAGACAATTACTAGCAAATTACTAACTTTATTTCACAACAGACCTTTAAATTCCTGATTTAATTTAAATACATTCCCTTCAAAGATTCTGTATTGCGTCCCTTAGGTCATTAATTTCTTCTGCAGTGATGCTGTAAGTTCTTATCTAATCAACAGTAAGAACTGGAAAAAAAAGAAGCCGAGTTTATAAATACCTCAGCTGCTAAATACGCTTTCCGTTTTCTCCCCTGCTATCGCAATGCAGGCATGTAATTAACTACTCTGTAGCTTTCAATTATTGTCAACAATGTGCTTTGTGTACATAAAATTGTAAGGTGCTTATTTTAGCGCGTTGTACTAATCAAGAAGATATGTATTAATATATTAATCGTAAAGAAATAAAGCTATGTTGGAGATTATCCAGTTATTTGCAGTTATCCCAAACTCCATCTAGTTACGACGCAATCTGCATGTCTGCAACATCTATAACCCCTATGGTCTTAACTACGCAGTTAGTTGGTGCCTTCTCTTAACTAAATCTTCATATATATATATATATATACATATATATGCGTGCGTACGAAATATGCATTGATAAATACTTGTATAATTTTTCACACATTCGATGGAAACTGAGACTTATATACGAGTGTAATGGTAGCACACTCGGCGCGTATTCGAGAGGTTCAGGTTCGAGTCCCGTTGAAGGCATTTCACTTTTTTTCACGTCTCTGCTTAAAAAAAGCCTACTTGCTTTACAATATCAATTAAACCTGAATAAATAAGTACGGTTTTCAAAGCCCTTCAATTCGAAAATGCGCATTTAAATTTTCCATTTTCAATGCACATTGGGTAAAATATGCGAAATTTCGAAAATTTTAGACAATAATTTCAAATTTTTTATAACCTTTAGAATCGACATTTTCTGCTATTCGTTTACGTCTGAGAAAATTGTTCAAGGCACATAATTCTGAAAACTTTTCGAGATGTCAGTTCTTCCTGTCACGAAACTTAGTTTACTTTAAAAAGATTTCTAGTAAATTAACGCTATAATTTTCTTCATAGAGATCTCTTATGAATTGCATTAAAATAGAGTCTTTATCTGCGCATTTTAACTAAAATGTGTCAGAAATCCAAATCTGTTACAATCTGAAAACCTACAGGACCATACATGTGTCAGCATTAAACCATTTAAAATCTTTTTATTTATTCAAAGAGATAAAATCTTTTTATCTAAATCTAAAATCTTCAAAGAGATAGAAAGATAAAATCTTTTTATCTCTTTGAAATACTGGGCTTAATAGTTGTACGCATATGTAGTAAGCAATAAGCTGTCAAATACTTATGAAAATAAATTTTAGGTTGCGCGGCAAATGCAGAATATAAAAGTAATTTTTCACTTAGCCCCAACAGAGTGGAATTAAAATCTTTGAAGGCTTTTCTCAGTATTTAC